GAAAGTTTACATTCAGTTCCTTAAAAAACACTTTTTGCGTTAGTGAGTGGTAGCATAAGTAAACTTTGGGCTATGAAGACATGGTTTGTTCCAAACCACTTTCTTTTCTTCCTTTTAAAAGGTTTATTTTAAGATGGGGGCCTCCTTGTGTGCCCTTGGATGCCCTTAAACTCCCAGTTTCAAGGGATCCTCTAGCCTCAGACTCATAGTAACAAGGGCCACAGGCACCTGCTAGTACACCTGGCTCTAATTTTAAAAATTCTTAGTTAACACTCATTTCAAGCAAAAATGTTTTCAAAACAAGCTTTCTGTAGATTTTATTTTTTAGATTGTATACATATTCCTGAACAGAGGAAGAGAACAAACATTTCTTCACTGGTTTGTTTTTAAATGGTTTTGTCTTACCTTTACCACCACCTTTGGGATTTTTTCCTCACATTGTAGAGTTTACAGATTAATTGTAGGTTTGAAAATGTCAAGAAAAGTATAAATTGGAAAATAAAACTCAGTCTTAATAATTCTTTACCTTTTGATGTTTTGGAATGTCTTCTGATTTTCTCTGCGCACACAACATCTGTGTTTTTTTAAAAACAGAACAGGTAGCAGCTAGCAGATGGTGTGTGAGACACAGATGCACGTCATAGGGTCAATTATCTTGTCATTGGTCTGGGTCCACCATAGAATGCTCCTGATGGGAGAATAATGGCAGAGGAGGAGGCCAGGGTTACGAAATTGGGCTATGACATGAAGCTTTTATGGTCCTGTTTAACCTGCTGGTGAGTGTTAACACGCTTCATTAAAGGATTGCTCCCATTGTTCTCTAGGCAACGGAGGTAGTCTTCATGGAAGGATACTCTTGAGTTACTTCAGAGGGCAAGAGTGCCAACCGGACCCACATTTTGCCCCACAAACTACGTCCCGAGGAAATTTATTTAGGGAATGAGGTTAAGTTTGCGAATATCAGAAACTGCTCAGGGTGTTTCAGGAGTCAGGGATTGTGTGCGGGGAAGCCATGCTTGCTAAATTGCTGGAGCAGCTGTAGGCTGGGCTTCTGGAAGGACTTGCAGCACAGCATCCTAGGACCAGCCTGCCCAGTGTCTCAGTTTGAGAGCCTGGGAGTTTGGAAGTCGTTATCCCAGGTCTGACTCCAGGATCACATTTGCTTAGCCACTGTTGGCTCCAGGCCCACCCAGTCCATGTCAGAGCTGACCAGCAGAAAGATTGTCCAATTTACCCCCTCTTCGCACTCTTGCCCATTCCAGTCAGCCCAGAAACAGAACAGGATACACATTAAGTGTTGCTTCAGGATGTGAATTTTATTAGCAGACTCTAAATCATATTTGAAGGGCCAGATGCAGTGGCTTACACCTATATTCCCAGCTGCTTGGGAGGCAGAAGATCATGGTTCAAGTCCAGTCTAGGCAAAAAGTTAGGAAGATCTCCCTCCCCCAGTCTCAAACAACAAAATGGGGATGGTGTCTCACTCCTGCAATCCCAGCTTGGTGGGTGGTATAGGTAGGTGGTGGTAGAGCACTGCTTAGCAAGCACAAGGCCCTGAGTTCAAACTCTAGTACCATCAAAAAAAAAATCCTATTTGAAACCTTGTAAGGGAGTCTGGGAATTACTATTTTAGCCTTTTAGGCCTGTACTACAGGAACACACACCAGAAGGAGGCTAGAAGCACAGGCCTAGAAGTTAGTTGTCCGTAACAGTGATGTAGCATGGGAGTGATATGGTCAGGAGACATTTGAATGGTGGAATCTGCTGCACTTGGTGATTAGTTGGATGAGAAGAGAGGGTAAGAAGAGGGAGGTAACCAGGATAGTATTGGAGACAAAACCCATTACATTAAACCCCTTTTAAGACATCACCTTGACAGACTTTTTAAAAAAATCTTAAAAGCTTACATACTCTTTGCTTCCTGAATGACCAGCTGCCACATCTTATCTATAGCAATGTGAACAAATAAGAGTCAGGTGATCTGAAAGTTTCCTCATACTTCTGAAATTCTTTAGGTGGATTCTTTAAGAGATAACATGGTGCCGGGGCATGTTTTATTTTCCTGGTACATTTTTGTCAGTACCAAAAGTTAAACAAGGGAGCCAGCTCAGTGGATTCCCCCCAGCCTCCTCTTCCCCCAGCTGAAAGGAATGTGCCTCCAGGTTAGGCCCCTAGGATCCAGCGGGTGTTGTTTCAGGCAGATCCCCAGGCATGAGCAACCCTTATCTTGCTTAGCCTGCTGGGGCCTCCCAGATGTCTGCTGTTGACTCAGATATATTGTCATCTTGTGTGTGACTGAGGAGGGTGTAAAGCAGGAGGTGGCTGCCTGGCCCTGGGTTCCTGGCCCCTCCACCCAGGGTGGTTGGTGCCCACAGACTGAGATCTGTGGAGCCAGTCAATACTTATACGCAGGCTTCCTTTCCAACTGGCCATGTGGGTTGCGCAATCTTCCTCTGCTATTTTAATTTTCCACTGTAGCATTGTTAATTGATAGGGGTCACATTGAGGTAGCCACCAAACTTATTAGGTAGCAACTAAATTGGGTTGTGGCTGCCCAAGGCCAGGTGCAGTAATTGTTCAGGTGGCTGAGTTCACAACAGTAGAGGCTATTTTCTCCACTCTGCTGAGTGCTTTTATTAAAATCTCTTGTCTCCTGGACTCTTAATATAAGCCTGATGTTGGAGTACTCCTTTGCATCATTTAACTTCAAAGAAACTCATCACTGGGAAGTCTGGGTGGAGACATGAAAGCATTTGAAAGCAGAGTGAATGATAAAGGTGGCAGGTGGTACGGTCCTCCTTGGGGTCAAGCTAGCTCCTCCATTGCCAAGGATGTGCCAGATTGAGGTTCATGCAGGTGCAATGTACCTGGGAGAGGAACGGTCACAGGTGTGTAAGCCAACCTGGGTATGCAGAATGCACGCGCGCACACACACACACACAGTTTGTGATAATATTACCACCCACATTTTAAGGCAAAAACCCTGCATTCCTGAAGTTAGAAATAGTTGCATGCTAAAAGGTAATTACTATTAAAATACATTTTCTACTAGAAACTGCATATACAGTTGGCTTTCCAGGCTTGCCTTCAAGAACTCCCTTAAACCATCTTCAAGCTCTCCAATCCTGTCTCACAGTAGAAAGAAGTAGCCAGCTTCATGCAGTGTTTTAGCTTATTCTTATTCTTGGGAGTTGATTGAACCCAGCCTGGGTTCTACAGGCAGGGAAAAGGTAGGGTAGGATTACCTGGAGGTTCTCAGTCTGCCAGGGTGCTTGGGATCACCTGGGTGGCTTGTTAAACCACACTGCTATGTTTAACTGCAGAAGTTCTCATTCAGTGCATTTGAGGTGGGGCCCAGGAGTTTTGCCTTTCTTGCTCATTGCCTGTGGTCCCTGTGGTTCTGGAGCATCTTGAGACCACAGGAGTTGTCATAGAAGGAGGTTAGCCTTCTGAAGCCTTCTAAAGAATGCCTGTTCTTAGCTCTTGAGTAAGCCTCTGCCAGCTAGCAGTGCCTTCCACAGCAACAAGCCCCTGACCATCTTTTGTTAGCCAGACCCTCCTGTGGCCCCTCACTCCCCTCCTTCCCCAGCCTGGCCATGCAGACTAGCTGGAGCCAGACATGATAGATGAGTAAGTCAGTCTCCCCAGGTCTTTGGAAACTCAGCCCGTGTGTGGGCATCAGTGGGCATAACAGAAGTGCAGAAGAGAGAACAATGTGACAGGTGGCTAGGCCTGGTGCCTTCTTTTACAACTACTAAGCAGATCTTGACTTTCTCTAAACCCTACTGGTGCTGAGAACCACAACTATGGACCCTAGGTCCATTGGGCTCTTCAGAAGTTTGGAAACAGGCAAGGCCTGAGCTTACAAGGATCCTCCACATTACACTCAGGCCTCAAGGTGGGAGACATCTAAGCAGATGGAGCTAAGATTTGGTCCCAATCTATACCTTCCACCCTACATCCTTACCCTTCCTGTCTCTGTTTCTAGAACACGTCTTGCTCTGGCATTCCCCAAATCCCTGCAATATGGGGCTTATCTCAGCTGCGATTGCCACCTCACCCCTTGGCCTCCACTGACGTGGAGTTGAGGGCCCCAAACTGGAAGCATTAGCCAACTTCTCACCCCAGCAGGAGGGCATCTATAGATACCGCTAGGGGTGGGGCGCTGCAGTCTTCATAGTGAGCCCCCGCCCCAGGGACCTGTTTATTTGCCCCTCACTCAGAGGGAAACTGTGTGGACTCTGTGCTGTATCCACCTTGGGGACATATTGCTTACAGGGAATAAATATGGGTTTCTCTCCTGCTTTTGCAAATGGAGAAGAGAAAAATTAGAGGATTGTTTTTATTTTCCTTATTAAATAATAAAACTTAATTGTATAAAACAGACCAAGTGCTGTATTTACTCATTGATTGGCCTTCTGTCCAAGCAGCACAGTTAATATCACTGTAGAATATAGGAAAACTCAAGAGCATTTATAAGGAAAAGATAAGATTGTTTAGTTAAAGCTCATATTTCAACATTCACTATTAACTCCTGCCCTTATTTTTAAGAGTACAGTTTGAGGAGTGTTGGGGGGTGAAAATGCAAAAGTAACTTTTTAATTCCCTATGTTTTTATAATATCCTGTGGAGAAAGTTTGCAGGGCCTAACCATCTCCTGGTGGTTGTAAGCAGCTGTGCTGGATGAGGGAGTATTGGTTGTCAGAGGCACCCCATCCCTCTCCCTCTCCCTCTGGCTCCTGTGGAACACGCATCCCTAGATTCCATCCTTGCAGATTTAGGAAATCTATTCATATTAAAGCTTTGCATTCCTTTTGTGGAAAAATTATTTTTCTCATTGGATTTTCAAAACCATTGACGAGACTCTTAATGGTTTATGCAACACGGCCCTAATAACAGGGCTGTGCCCCTTGCAAGGTTATTGTATTGCCCTTGTGAATGAGTACAACTAGCTCTGTGTATGTGTCTCTCTGATTTATTTTCTATTTGCCCCTCTCTAGTGGGATCTTGTGTGTGATAATGCCTGGAAGGTCCATATCGCTAAGTTCTCCTTACTGGTTGGATTAATCTTTGGCTACCTAATAACTGGATGCATTGCTGACTGGTGAGTACCAATGTGCCCCTCACAGACCTTTGGAAGCCACAGCACGACTTTGCTGGCTAAAGAGAAGTGATCAGTGTTAGCAGACTATTACTAGGCCTTTTCTCTGCCTGGTGCTGATGGCAGAACAGAAAGCAGAAGCAGCCACTTGGAGAATGCAGAGCTAAAAGAATTGGCCAGTGCACAAAACAGATTATTATGGGAATAAGAATTAAAAATCACACAGTTTTTCAGCTGCTAGAATCTAGCAAGCCTGCAGTCTTCTATTGACATTTGATGTTTATTAGGAAGAACTTGAGGATGTAGGTACAGGACTCTATGGGCTGAGCATGGAGTGGTTATGTACAAGACTCATCAAAAAATGGGTAAGGGGAGCCTGGCACAGTGGTATACAACTATAGTCTGTGCTACTTGGGAAGCTCTGGCAGAAGACTGCTTGAGCCCAGGAGTTGAGGACAACCTGAGCAACATAGAGAAACCCTATCTCAAAAAAGTAAAAGATAAAACACCAGGGAAGAGCTAGAGACCCTTCACCCATGTGAACCAATTGGGTAAAACAGCACTGATCAGCACCTCAAAATGTCACACACATTTCAAAGATAGTCCTGGGTTTGACCAGGAGATGCCTCTGTGGAGGTGCACGGGGAGGAAGATGTTGAAAGATAACATTTGGATAATGGATGGCTGTTAAAGACAGTGGAAGGGTAGTGATTAGAAGTGAGAATAAATATGTTTTCAGTAGGAACCTAGAAAAAAGTGTGTGGTTGAGATGAAGTGATGAGGTTGGTGGGTTAGAGATCAAGATTAATGATGATAGTGATGATGACACATTAGCACCTAAGGCTTACTGATTACCATGTACCAGGCATGGTGCCAAATATTCCCATGCATTGAAATTTCTCATACTCACAGCAACCCTGTTAGACAGGTGCCATTATGACCTCTGTTGCATCATTGAAGGAGTAGAGCACAGAAGTTTAAGTTGATCCCCAAGTTCTCTGGGCTTTAAGCTGGAGAACCAGGACTCAACACCAGGCCACTCAGCCCAGAGCCTGCCTCTTCACCAGTGTGCCCCAATACTTTTATATAAGGAGTTCTGTGGTAACAAGGGCCCTGCAGTTCCTTGTCCAAACAGAGAAACAATTGCACAGTGTAATGGACTGCTCAGGGACAGAAGTGTGGTAGATTGCTCCCCTTTCCACTCTTTTAAAGGGGTTGTTTTTTTGTGTGTGAATCAGCACATTTTGGTCCTGTTGACATAATAAAGGCCAAGAATGATATGGGACAATTGTATGTGTCTTAGTGATGCCTTTTGTACGCCACTTAGCTGAGGACCAGGCTAAGAGCCAAGGCAGTGGGGAGAGCAGCAGAGGACTCTGAGGCCACTATAAAGTTGTGGAAGTTTCCTTCTAAATCTAGTGTCTGCTTGGGAGTTCCTGTGCCAACATACAATGTGGCTCCCTGTGTCCTCAGAAATCTGCTGCCTCATCATTTGTAAATGCTTTGTATGCACATGTTCCCTGCAAGCAGAAAAAGAAAATCTGTCAGTGATATCTGGAGACCTATGCTGGGGGCTCCTTTTTTGTTTTGTTTTGTTGTTGAGGCTATGGGATAGGTTTTTGTTTAACCAAATGCTTGGACTCATAGATTTTGAGCATGAGCTATACTGGCCTAAAAGCTACTACTTCCCAGAAATCTGTTTTGAAATAAGTTAGGAATATATATATACTAACATAACCCATGTCACCTTCTTCATGAACATGAAGACTTGATGGAGCTTGTAGTGTACTTATTTAATGAGTGGTTTAGTAGAAAAGTAAATGTGGGTTTTTATTAATCTGTCTGTGAGGTGGAAGTTGCTTCAAGGTTCTTGCAACCTGTATGCCTCCCTAACCACACACCAGGCTTGGGGATAGAAGGCTAAAGAGTTCGGGTCTCACTCTCTGAGTAATCATTCAGAAGCCTGATACTGGAAGGGTCAAAATGGGATGGGCAGGTAGGCATAGCCAGGGAGTCAGGGAGCTGCCTGAGAGGTGGCTTTTTGGGCATTTTGAACGGACTTCTGTTTCAGTGTGGAAGTTTGGTGTTTTCCAACCTCATTGTTTTCATAGTTTTTTGTGTTTTATTCCCTGCTTGAGTCTTGCTTAAAAGGAAACAAGCCCATTTAAGGGAATTCTGGCCTTTATAGCTGGTAGCCTGGGTTCATGTCTACATGGGAAAGTTGATCAAGTCATAGGATAAGCTTTCTAAGATTGCAGCCAGCATACATCAAAATTGAAGTCGTATGCTGCTCTCTTTTAAAAGTTCCATCTTCAACCTGGATTGTGTCTGGGGATATACATGAAGCACTGTTAGACAGCATGTTAGTTCAGATGCTTGGGAGATACACAGGCTGGGGCTCTACTCCCTTCCCCTCCGGGCTTTGCTCTTTTGTGGGATGGCCTACACTCTTACAAAAAGAATCACAGGCTGCACCAGAGGACTCCGGGCCCTCAGGCTCCTGGTGGCCAGTGGGGAACACAAGCTGCTGATCCTCAGGGGAGAAAAGACAGCCCAGGAAATTGGTCTCTACAATGCTGGAAATGCCAGCCAGCCCATCTGGCTCCTCCATAACCTCTTTCTCTGAGTTGTGACTATTTGTCCCCCCTATTCCCTGCTGTTAGGCACTGCAACTTGGAACACTATCCCCTGCAGGTTGTATTCCCATCTTGTCTGAGACCCCATGTCAATTTCTTGTGTCTGTTGTCACAAATTACTATATACTCAGTGGCTTTAGCCACACAAATTAATTATCTTACAGTTAGTGGTTAGTTAATAAGCCCAACAAGGGTCTCACTGGAGTAAAGCCAGGGTGTCAGCAGGGAAGCTCCTTTCTGCAAGCTATGGAAGGCTGTCAATTCCTTATCTTTTCTAGCTGCTGTAGGCCACCATGTTTTGTGGCTTAAGCCAGGCCCCTTCCTCCATTTTCAGAGCCAGGTCTGAGGGTGGGCAGATCCTTCTCACCTGTCTTCTCTCAAGTTCCCTTGAGGTTCTTAACCTTAGTCACATCTGCAGTGTCCCTCTTACACTAAAAGGTACAGTATTCACAGGTTCTGAGGATTAGGATATAGACATCTTTGAGGCCATTATTCTGCTTGGACAGATCTGCAGTGGTATCAGCCTCTGCTGTCAGTCAGCTGTAAGGGGATTCTGCTCTAGGAAGCCAGCTCATCCTAAAGCTCCAAGACTATGACTAGCATGCACTGAACACTTGCTTAGTCACTCGCACATTTCCACACTTGGCACCCTCCCTGTTACATAGGCCTTAATAGGTTCATTGGAACTATCGTGGCCCTTCCCAAGATCACATAGTTCTCAAGTGGTTGATTCTGGATTCAAAGATGTTGTGTGACCCATGCACCCAATAATAAGTGCTACTTAATGGTTTTAGCAACCTGTTGGGAGGGAAGGACTTAGAATGGTTTCTACAAGATATTTTTAAAAAATCACAAATCTTTTCTAAAAAGTATCAGAACAGGGCAAACATGTTTGGTGGGTGTGAGGGTTGTAGAACTGCAGGAAGGATGAGAGCTAAACCATTAACGAGCTACTTTGTGCCTGACACTGTGTTTAGGCCTGTCACCTCCCTTCACAGACAGTCTCAGTAGCTCTGCAAAATAAGACCTTATCCCCACTTTGTAGTTGAGGCACATATAAGGCAATAAAAATGGTTTTTGTTTGTTTTCCTTGGTTTTAGGAGAACAACTGAGCCATATTTAATGAGAATCATTTACTAAGGTCTTTCCTGGAAAGAGCTTCATGACAGCAGCATCAGACAAGTCTCTAGGCAAGATTATTCATTTACATGGATTGAGCTCGTAGCCTTGGCCTCGTTTCACAAAACTGAAGTGTTTAATGGAAATGGCAGAACCTTGGAAAGTTCCAAAGAAAATGGTGTTCTGTTGTTTCTGCCCCATTTTTTTTTTTTAACAGTACTGGGGTTTGAACTTAGGGCTTCACATTTGCTAAGCAGGCCTCTACCATTTGAGCACACCCCCAGCTCTCTTTTTGCTTTAGTTGTTTTTCAAGTTGGGTCTCATGTTTTTTTGCCCAGGGCTGGCCTTGGACTGTAATCCTCCTCTCTATGGCCTTCTGTGTAGCTGAGATGACAGGAGTGTATCACCATGCTTGGCTTATTGATTGAGATGGGACCTTGCTAGCTTTTTGCTCAGGTTAACCTCTAACTGTGTGACCTTCCCCATCTCTGCCTCCCAAGTAGTTGGAATTATAGGTGTGAGCCACCATGCCTGGCCCACATTTTCTTAAAATTTCATCTATCCCCTTTGTACAGCAAGAACAGGCCTTACCAAGTGTTACTCTTTTTTTAAAGGGCTTTATTGAGAGATAATTTACATACCATAAAATTCATCCACTTAAAGTGCACAATCAGTGAGTTTTAATGTGTCTGTAGCTGTGCAACCATCTCCACTGTACGGTTAGACCCTTCCCATCACCCTTAAGAGCATGCTGGAAATGTATTCATAAATATTCGCTCTCCATTTTTACCCAGCCCTGAGTAACCACGAAGCTACCTCTGCTTTTCCACATTTGCCTTTTCTGGGTATTTCACTTGTATGTTGGTGCCTTATCACAAATATGTCTAGGACTGTTCTAGCCATTCAGCTACCCTATGGGGTGTTTAAGGTGCCAGGCCTGGAATTTTTTCCCTTTTTTTTCCCCTAGCAAGTAGCATCTACTCTGCCTTAATTTCTCTGTGAGCTGTGCTTCTAGCCCAAGCCAGTCATGTGAAATATTAACTTGTTTGATGGAGAGTTATCACTGCAGTTTTATTTCTAATGAGTTAATGAAGGGAAAGATGGAAGGTTAGCATGGGGGGATGGGAACTCATGATTTTCCTCTTGTTGTGTACCACCCCTCACTACCCCCACAGCACATTGCCCCCTAGTGGTCACCAGTCCTGCTCTGGCCAGCCCTGTGTGTGACGCATGACTTCTGTGTGTCTGATATCCTTTCTGGTGGGCTCCTTTGTGAGCTCATGTCAGAACCATACCAGTTATTTAAAGTTCAAGCTGTTTTGGCTTGGTGTGCTCCCTTACAAATTGCTTATTGTTATGTAGCTGAAACAAATTGCAGCTCTACCGGCTGTGTGTGAGATCAGGTACCTGGTTTAACTAACAACTCGGAGAATGGAAGTAGCTTCTTTCCATGCCCATGTTGACTTTCGGGCCAGTTCCAAAGGTCAGTGGTTTCTCAAGATGTTTTATGCTGGGTGTGTCAAGGTTTGTATTTAGGGAGGTGTTATTGATTTTGTCCCTCTTGCCTTGAATCATCCATGTTTATACACAGAAACAGATTCAGCAACAGGAATTAGGGCTATATCTCAGTTCTCTATCCTGAAGCTCAAAGCTTCAGAACAAGAAGGTTGGGCTAAATGTCCCCCAAAGGCCTCTCTGCCCCTAGTGAGTAGTCCATGCTCCAGTGAAAGTGGGTCTAGATAGTATGAAGACATTTAGCCCATACTCATTCAACATATATTGAGTACCTGCTGGATACTGCATTTCAGCATCTAGCCTCACCATCTTATTTAACGATGATTCCTGACCTTTTCCCTCCCCATGTGCAGGGTCGGCCGGCGGCCTGTATTGCTGTTTTCCATCATCTTCATTCTGATCTTTGGACTGACTGTGGCACTGTCAGTGAACGTGACAATGTTCAGCACACTCAGGTTCTTTGAAGGATTTTGCCTGGCTGGAATAATTCTCACCTTGTATGCATTACGTAAGTAGGAACATTCATAACTAGTCTTAACAAATTAGCCAAAATATTATTACCTGTGTGGTTCTGGGAAGGATGCTGTGTATGCTGGTGGCTCGGGGTGGCATCTGTTGGGAACATAGTCTTTAGAGGGCTCAGTGGTATGAAAGGTCCTTTTGAAACCATGCTGTTCAGGGTTCACTTAATCATTTCCTGCACCTTGGGCACATCAGAGGACATGAAGTTTGCATAATGGCTTGGAGAAGTGGGCTGATGTGGAGTGGCCTTTGCTTTCCTCTGGAATTTTCTGCACTGACATGCTATGAACTTCCACATTCAGCGCATAATTGGGTATCTGAGTACTTGGCTCCAGAAGAGCATGCCATATACCTATTACGGTGGTGTTGTCTGGACTTGCATTCTCACTGACACTTTAGGCTATTTTTTCCCTCTAAAGCTATTCAAAGTCCAAGTTTTCCACATTTTCTTGTGCCCAGATGTGACCTTAAGTGGTCTGGAATTGAACCCTTGCTGGTGGAATGGCTCAAGTGATGTGGAATTGAACCCTAAGCATTAGTACTGGAAGAATAAGTGGCAAGATTTGCTAGTATTTGCTCTTTTTTAAAAGGGTGAAGAAAGTGTTCTTTTGTTGATCTGTCATGTTTGTTTCCTGTATTATCTCTGCCGTAAATGTGGTTATGCTTCATTTACTTATAGTTAATTTTCTGGAAGATAACCACATACCCATAAGGAAAAGGAGAGTTTCCAGTGTGGATGTTTCATTTACTAGTCTTATGCTTTTCAGTCACCATGTGGAAAGATCTGTTGGGAATGATAACTTGCCATGTTTTGTCTTTTTCTCTGTGACAACTTGGGTAGGAGTCAGGTATATTATAGGTTAGGTAGCCATTTCCAGCATGATAAAGTAAGATTATTTCTAATTCTCTTTAAGTTTGCATATTAGGGACTTCTTTAGATAACTGAGTTTTCATTTCACTAGGAATATAATCAATCAATGCCAAAATATTTTAGCCTCAAGGAGGGAATGAACATAGAAAAATGTCACAGGTATGTTCTTCCAAGTCCATAGTTGGTGGTTTTGCCATTCTCTTCTAGCATTTAACTGAATTGTAGTTTGTTATGAATTATCTTTTTCAGTTTGTGTTATTTTGGAGCTCTTGTCACTTGGAGAGTTCTTTCAAGATGTGTGACAAGGTAGTGGGACTAGGTGACTGTGTGGGGGTTTTGTTTCTTTGAAAAAAAAAAAAAAACAGGGGCTATAACACTTCCAGATCAGATGCCTGTGATGTGGCCTTGGCCCCTGTTGGCCTGTGCAGAGGAGAAGTCTCCCAACTCTTTTCCTGAAGTGATGCCCAGCCTTACTCTCAGACACCCTGTTGGAATCTTCTCTCCAGGCAGCCATTCTTGCCAGGCTCTATTGTCACAGGAGATCAGCAATCCAGGTCTTCCATGTTGACTGCCATTGAAGGGGACAAAAAAAGAATGTCTGTGCTTCAGGAAGTTGCAGACAGTGTATATAACCTCAGCTTCACCACCCCCTGTTGACAGTGTTCAGGGAAAATTGCCTTACAGCAAAGATGGCATATTGGTTTTATCTTGAATGCCAAGTACTAATGATTGGCTGAAGCTGACAAAATACTAGGAGACTTCTGAGAACATTAAGGGCTCCAGAAGAGAGCCACCTGGGTTCATTAGCCATGTCTGCCAGGGCTGAGGAAAGAGGTGGAAGGCTTGCACATGTGGGCGGCATTTGCCATTTCTAAGACTATCCCTGAGTTAAGCCAGACCAGATGTGAATTGTATCTGTACTGCACTGTTTCAGCCTTACATAGAATTGTTTCACTGACTTGTATTGTGACATTATCATGCTATTGACCCTATGAAACCTATTGCTATAAAAATGATACTAAAGATGTCCTTTCTTTTAGATTACATAAAGAACTCTTGAGCATGGAAAGTTCTCTTCTACTTCAGAGCTCTATAAACAGTGTTTATCCTAGGAAATTACTTTGCTTTTATATCCTAGGCAGAGGATCCTACAACCTGGGCATTTGCACACTTTTTATGTAAAGGGTCAGGTAGTAAATATCTTAGGCTTTGTAGCCTACACAGTCAAAGCTGCTCAACTCTACTGTCATAGTGTAAAAACAGCCATTTGTAATATATAAACCAATAGGCATGGCCATGTTCCAATAAAACTTTATTTACAGAAGAGATAATGGGCCAGATTTGGCTGGTGGGATAGAACTTTCTAAACACTGATGGTAGTGATTCATGTGTAGGCCTGGCAACATAGCTTTAAATTCTGCCCTCCCTCCAAAGCTAGGGCCTTGTGCATGTTAGGCAAGGACCCTACCACTGAGCTATATCTCCAGCTCTTCCTCCTATTTTCATCTTAATGTCCCTACTTTAAGTCCTTCTTAGTCCCATTTTCCTACCTCTGTTATTTGTGCCATATAATTGTATGTATTTGTGTCAGCAGCTTTAAATTCTTTATGCAATAGAATGAGGTATTAAAAATGATCATTTTCTTGAATTGGGAATAGCATGCAAACACCATTGTAAATCCATGGCAGTGAAAATATCCAAGTATCAACCAGTGAAAGTATCCAGGGTAATAGCATAATTATAAAGCAAGATGACTTGGTGTTCATTGAGGAAATATTTAAACAATGAAAATTCAGAAGATTTGGTTGGGAGGTGGCCAAAAAGCCATGCTTGGCAAGAGAGAATTTTAAAAAGGAACTAAAATCATAATAGGCAGGTGTTTTGGGGTGGATATGAATGGGATGGATTGGGGTGGCCCACCACTGAATCCATGGCAGTTTTGGGAGAATACAGAACCTGGTGACAAGAAGTTAAGAGATGCTCCCAGTCAATAGCACAGGGTGACTATGAATTTCCAGTTAGTGTGCTTGCTAGCATTTCATACTCAAGCAGAATATGGGCTAAGATAACACATGAAAATTTGTTTCACTTGAAGGAAATTATTGATAAGCAGAGTCACAGGGGTAAGTAAAGTTTAAAACTTTGGGACATTATTTGAAAGCTACATTTTCATTTGTTTTCAATTTTTCTTAACATATTGTTTTATTGGGGGTACATTGTGACATTTACAAAAGTGCTTACAATATATCTTAGTTAGATTCACCCTCTCCATCATTCCCCCTTATTCCCTCCCCCACTTCTTAGAATAGTTTCAACAAGTCTCATTGCTCCATTTTCATACATGAGTACATAATATTTCTACCGTATTCATCCTCCTTTACCCTTTGCTTATATCCTCCCACCTCCCACTGGTACCAACCCCTAGGCAGGACCCGTTTTACCTTCCTGTCCTTTATTTTTGAAAAAAGGCATTTTTTTTAAGATAACTATACAGGGAGTTTCATGAAAGTTACATTTTTTAATGGTCACAAGTTTTTCTTTCTCTTGAAGCAGAAGCTTTTTTTCTCACTTAAGACCCTCTACTGGGAAGGCTTGTCCTTTCTCAGAGCCTACCTGGACATCATTCTTAAGATAATTTTGCAGGTACTTGGCAATGTAAGCTAGAAAGTAACAATTTTTGCTGTTTTGATTTTTTGTGTACCTTGCCATGAGAGTAGGCTCTTCGTTTTGAGAAATACTGCTGACTTGTGAAAGTTTTCTGCTTTATTTGCAAGGCTACCTAAGGTTTTTGTTTTTTCTGCTTTGGATTTTGTTCTAAGGTACATTATAGTTAAATATTCTACTCTTTAAACTTTTGTTTTCCTCAAGTTGCCAAAGGGATAAGTGGTTGTGTAATTAGGACATAAAACAGAAATTATTGGCATCTTCCCAAAGAGTCTGTCCACGGCAGCTCAGTGTACATTGGCAAGAGAAAACAGGCCAAGCTGAATGAGTTTGTGCAGGGCCACAGCAGCTGTTCCTGCCTGCCTGCCTCTGAGCCCATCGTGAGACACTGAAGTAATTAAATACACTTGGGCTACATCAGTGGCTTAATTTTATTTTTACCTCTGTACACACACACACACACACACACACACACACACACACGAACATTTGATTTAGCCAGCAAGTGACACCAACTAAGAAAAAGAAGTAATCCTAGATTCCCTTTGTTGTGAAGTAATCCTAGATTCCCTTTGTTGTGAAGATAGTCTTATCAAAAACTTTAAAGAGATTGTCCTCAAAATAAGCAGACATGATTGTAGGATTGTAGGAATCCCTTTCCCAACTAAGATTCACCATATCACAAGCAAGGTAATAGAGCATTATTTAAGGTGTGTCTTTCTTCAAAAGAAGCCTCTGAGTGTAGTGCCAAGCATCTGTGGTCCCAGCTACCCAGGAGGCTGAAGCAAGAGGATCCCTTGAATCAGGGAGTTAGAAGCCAGTCCAAGCAACATAATGAGATGTCTGTCTCTTAAAAAAAAAAAAGAAGCCAATGAGAGATTATTGTTTTTTACTTGATTTGATGTTGGATATAACAAATTTTGTGGGAAAGAAATATGTGTGCATACATATATATTTTCAGGAGGCAGGGGGAACATGGGATTCAAACCCAGGGCCTCATGCATGCTACACAAGTGCTGCACCACTAAAACTGTACTCCAAACCCATACTATTTAAATATAAATACTTTAAGACTTAATCAAATCTCCACCTCCCTCACCACCCCTAAACCATCCCCTCCACGCCATTTTCCCAGGTAGAAATAATTAATATTATCTTTTGCTGGCAGGCCAACCTTATGTGCAAATGAACATAACTTTTATTTTTTGGTCTAATAGCAATGAAAAATTCTCTCAAACATGCTTTCATTATAATAACTTTCCTTAAGCCTAGACAGCCTAAATAATTAGATGAATTCTGTACATAATCAAAGAATGACCAGAAATTTCACAGGTGACTAAGTTTCTGATTGCTTTGTGAAATTAGAAGCCAGGTCTTGGCTTAACTCAGAGAGTTCTCAAGTTTGTTCAGGTGAAGTATTGCTTGCTTTCTCACCTGACACTAATGGGTTT